TTTCAGTGACTTACGAACAAGGACACTTGTTCTTTTGCACATTTGCACATTTTCCAATCTCTCAACATGTAAGAAATGATCTGTACCATCATTCTTCATACCAAAATGGATAATCTAACACTTATCCACACTAACTTAAATCAGCCTGGTTCTTGTCCACTCACTCAGCTTATCTAAATCCCTTGAAGCTATTGTGCATCATCCTCACAAGTCACATTTCCATCAATTTTGGCATTATTTGAAAATTTTGGAATGCTATAATTAGCTTCCACTAACAAATCATTGACACAAATAGCTGGGGTCTAATCCTCGCAGTGCTCCCTGGTCACAGCCTGACAACCTGAGGGTGGCACATTTATTCCTACTCTCTGCTTTCTGCATGTTAACGACTCCTTAATCCCTGCCAGGATATTACCCCCAATTCCAAGTACTTTATTTTTGTTTATTTAGCTCCTATGCAGGACTTTATTCAAATATACTACATCCACTTGTCCCTCCTTATTACTAAGTTATTAATTTTCTTAAACAAACTCTTATCAGTTTTGTTAAACACAATTTCTCCAAAATTGATGCTGACTCTGCCCAGTAAGACAATTATTTTCTAAATAATCAGTTATCCTTGACATTAATTTCTAGTATTTTCTCTACTACTGTCATCAGGCTAACAGATTTGCAGTTCCCTGTTCTCTCTCTCAGTCCTTTCTTGAACAGTAGGGTTACATTTGAAACATTCCAATTTGTAGACAACGTTGCAATAATTAATAGAATTTTGAAAGATGAAAGTCATCTTACTCACTTCAATAAAGCTCGTGATCACCCTTTTTGATTATTTAGACTAAAGTTTCGGGTGTGGACAATAGAAAGAGTGTTAACGAAGATAGCATGCTCATTTTGTGCTGTGTTAAGCTGTGTAAGACCTTACCGAAGTAGGTGATCCCTTTCCCTGTCTAAATGAGACAGTCCCATTCTTTCCTCACGAAAATGATTGTTTTCTTCCTCTGCTTCAAGGTCAATGACATAGGTGGAGCGCGATGATCCTGTTAAAAGTGAAGTTAACATTTTCAGCTAACCAGTCCCAAAGTAAAATCCAGACTAACTCTGTTGCAGTGGTACAGTTTTAATATGAATTCCAGTCAAAGCATGTTCTCATCAAAATAAACCATTTGAATTGTCAAAGAAAGATATTCAATGTAAGATGCTTCTATTTCCTGACAGTTAATGTGCATTGCAATTGATAACTGCATAAAATTCATAAGGAAAAAAAACACATATGCCTTATGAAAAGGTATCAATTTTTAGATGTTTAAGGGGCTACTTCATTCATAAGCTTTCAAAGAGAAAATTTCAATCTCCACATCTAGTTTTTTGCTGCATCAAATGCTTACATGGCACCGTAAATGAAAAATATGTTCAAGGAATTTTCAACTGGATGTGTTTACTTCTACTGTTAATTGTGGCATTCCACAATTATATTAGGTCACTGTGAAACAGGCATGTCACAACTTTTCTGGGTTTTGAGAACTTGAGGGTCAATTTTAGCACAATTCATCACAAGTTACTTTGAAACTGGAAGTAAGGACAGCTAGCCCAAACTGTTAACATTAATGTACACGACTAGCTATTGGGAGCTGTAATTCAACTAGCCTGAGCTGGACAATGTCAAGCTTTCAGGACTGCAGATGAAACACTTCAGTCTTAGTAACAGACAATTTTGTATGAAGCTGAAGCAGCCAAAGTAAGACCAACTTAAGTAACTTACACCTCGAATATATAACTGTTCTGGGAATTAAAGACTATGACCATTACATTTGGTGATAACACCGCATTGAGAATGTTCCGTGATGTGCACCAGGAATGAAGATCATTGTCTTGCTCTCATCGGTGTTCCAAGAGATAATAACGATAACATTTATGAAAATAATTTTAGAAATCAATCATGGTTGTTAACGGAAACACTAGTTGACCGTTTGTTTGGGTACTTAGCAGTATCTCACCTTTTAAGCCAGGAAGATGCCTGTGTGGTCTGTTGGACTCAGTACCACAAGGCAGGTCATGCTTGTTCTGGTTGTCTTTTTGTCTTGCAACAGCCACTGCGATCCCAACTGGAGGCTGCCGTACCTCACTGTCACCCTGAGATGACTCACTTTCCCTCCCTTTGGCACAGTCTGGACGCTCCAAGTCGAGGTTTGACTTCCCACTTTGGAATTTGATCTCCTGATGGACGCAGCTGGCCCGGATGTTTCCCAGGCCTCCGAAAGGGGTCTTCTGCCCAACGATCAATGCCTGTGCGCCTGGAGGAAATGAGCTGCTGTACTTTAGCAGACTCTTCATGGCTGAGACTTCATCAGTTTGACCTAAAATGTCTTGATTGAGCACAGATCCTTGTGACAACATTGCCGCCTGCTGTAAACTTGAACTGAAAGGGTCGAGATAGGAACTTTTCCTGTCTTCCCCCATAGGAATCTGAGGACTCTGCCATGATGGTATGTGAGATCCATTGTAGCTCATACAACTGAGCTCCGGTGGTCTTCTCTTCATCTCTGAACCACTTCCTACGTGCTCCACCTCGGGAAGCTTATGGTGCTGGTGCCGTATCCTGGCCACTTTCTGCCCCTGTGAGTCTTTTGAAGCTTTTTCATGTGTATCGCTGCCATGCTCCCGGTCCAGTGTGTAACTGGAGTGGGTAAGTTTGGCACAGCATGTCTCCAGCTCCTTCGAACAGAAACAATCCTGAGACTGTGGCATAACGTAAGTGCTACCTTTCCCTGAGGGGCCCTTGGCTGCCTGAGGTGTGAAGGGCATCACCATCTGCGCACCAGTGCTACTAACACACTGTTGTTTGGATTTTATGGCTGAATTGTGGGGCCAGTCCATTCCTTTACTATCTAGCTTCAGGGATGTGTGCGAATTAGGAACGGTCCCAATGTCAGACCTCTCTGTGCTTTTGTCATGTGTCTTCTCCTTCCCCATATTTCGGTTGACCTTGCAGTTTTCTGCAGTGACTTGAAACGGTTGGCTTTTGTCACCGAAGTGTCCCACTGAAGGCACGTACGTAGGCCCAGTGACCTTGAGCTCCCTGCTGGCCTTATCTTGAGTAGGGTAAAAAAGGTCTAAGTTGGAATGAACCTGCAAACAGGGGAATGTTCCAGAGGCTGTGCTAGATGATGAAGGAATGTTGGACAGGGAAGAAGGAACAGAGTATGCAACAGAATGGTGTGGAGTTTGCCAACTATCTGAGCACTCGACGTGCACTGGACCAGACGGGCCGTTTTCTCGGAAATCCCTCTCAAACCTTAAGCTCTCTTTGGTACACCTGCCTGGGGTATGGATGTCCATTTGCCTCGGTAAAATCCCACCAATATTAGTGCAGCTTGCTAATAAAGTCTTATTGGAATCTCCATTCATAACTTTGGAGTTTGTTAAACAGCTATTGAAGTGTTTATTTCTGTTCTCACACATGCTATTATGCATATTTGTTACGTCTTCTTTGCATCTGACATCTGGCATCAGAGGCAGCACAATTTTATGCCTGTCTTTTCCATCGTCTTCTGAATGTCTCTCCTTGTGTGTCCTTTGACTGCTCAATGAATTGGCTTCATTTTTATTCATCCTTTCTTTATTAGGTTCCTTTGAGGTTAGGAGTCTGTCAGTTTCCTTGATCGTTTTATGGGAGTGGCTCATCTCTCTGTCTCGGCTGCAGGAACCAATGGGATGGCTGGGTGCGGCTCGGGAAATCGAAGGAAAACTATGATTGGTTGAGAGCAGGGTCGGCTGTCCAGGTAAATTCCTCAGATAGAAACCATCTGCAAATTGAGGAAGACCTCATAAGATCAGGGCAATACAACATATCGTCCTAAAGAATTTTATACACAAAGAACCTGTAGTGCTGTTTTATTTACATTGCTTAGATTGAAATACATGAAAATTTAAATTTCTCAAATGCAAATAACTTGCAAATAACAATTGATTCTCAACTACTGTGTTCTGTTCGTGATAATTGTACAGTTTAGGAAGAACACAGAACAGTACAGCACAGGAACAGGCCCTTCGGCCCGCTATATCTGTGCCAACCATGATGCCATTCTAAATTAATCCCATTTGCCTGCACATGGTCCGAATCCATCTATTCTCTGCCTGTTCATGTGTCTGTCCAAAAAGTGATATCATATTTGCTTCTGCCACCTCCCCTGGCAGTGTGTTCCCGGCACCTACCACCCACTGTATAAAAAAAACTTGCCTCACATATCTCCTTTAAACTTTACCCCTCTCACTTCAAAACAATGCTTCCTAGTATTTGACATTTTTACCCTCTGACTATCCACCCTATCCATGCCTCTCATAATTTTATATACTTGTATCAGGATATCCCTCAGCCTCCGATGCTCTACCAAAAACAATCCAAATTTCTCCAACCTCTCCTTATAGCTAACACACTCCAATCCAAGCAACATTGTGGTAAACTTCTTCTGCACCCTCTCCACATTCTTCCTATCATGTAGCAACCAGAACTGAACAGGTTTTACCCTGCTCTGCATTATTTTCAGTCTAAGTGATAATGAAGGTGCATAGGCATCCCTGAGCTAGGAAGAAGAAATGATTCAAACTCAATATTCAATTATGATTTGGTGTTTCTACATAAGAAGAGAATACAACTTCTGGTGTGAAGAAAATCAGGCATTCAGGTATGGCTGCAATGCCTAGCATCCCTCTAAAGCAAAGTGCTTACTAACCTGCCATCATCCAGAGATGCATGTCAAGAATGGTTATTTGGCTAGGTTGCTGTGGGCTGACAATTCCAGGAGGGGACTTTTGAATGAATCACCGCTCAGAGTGGTAACTGACGGAGGGAAAAGTCCAGCGTGTTTCAGAGGCACTCAGCATTGAATTGTAATGCATACCAATGGCATTTAGTACTGATTAAGTTAATAGAGATGTTCTCTTAATGGAGAGTTCAAAATACCTCACCAAGACAATAACAACAACCAGGATAGCATTTAGCTTAAAGCCTTGCACAAATGTTCACCAGCTTGATTTCAGCTTGCACACCATATGTGGTACATCATTAATCTACATATGATGATTAAACTCTAATTTCAATGTTTACTACATATTTTCTTTCCAATACCTCTTGGATTTCACTTGAAATAAATAGTAAAATGCAAGGTCGCAAATAGAAGCCTATGAAATAGTACTATTTAGTAAACATATGCAGCAATAATATTTATGCCAAATATTTCTGATTAAAACAAAGTACTGCACTGCAGACTAAAATTAGGCTCATGACTGGTTAACAGTGACAGACACTATATTCCACTACCCAAATAATTCATCATAATTGCAATAGATAAAAGAGTTGATTTCTGTAAAATTGAAATAAAGTATAATTAAAGCTTGATGATATTATTGACATTACTATTTTATAAAGTAAATCTAAAATATATATACTTGTCCAGACACTTTACTAACCTTTTTGCGTATCATAGAACCTGTGCTGGCCGTAAAGTACATTGTTGCTGTTACTGTGGTGATCCAGGTGGCTCATAGGGAGGAAAGTGGAGGCCAAACTGCTTGAAAACCTGGAATATCCTGGGACTGAAGAAAATATAAGGTTAGAGTTGAATAGCACAGTTTCTTAAGAGTGCGCAAGCGTATTTCCTTTTAGACTATACTTCAGTTATCATAGTCCAAGCAATAAAGTGGTTTTCAAACAAATGTCTTGTAATTGCAAACAGACCATGAAAAAGAAACCACTGAGGTTTCAGGGCTTCTGTGTATGATGAAAAAGAATAACAAAAGATAGAATCTCCACATTCCCTGTACTTTATTTATGACTGATAAAACTGATTCAACTACTGTACTTTCACAGAGGAGTCTGGCATGTTGCCCTTCACTTCGAGACTCAGTTCAACTGGAGATGATTTATCAAAAAGGTCACTTCTCAGTCTCTCGGAATACTACTGAATGGCAACTAACAATAAATTATAATTAAGGGCAAGTTAAAAATCCTCAGTTATTACAATCTGTTCTTATCTTTGTTGACAAAATTCATTGAAATTACAGACAGAAGGCCATTCAACCAGTGCACCTGTACTAGTCCCAGCTCCTTCATTAGAGGCATCGACTCCAATCTATTCCTTTTGTATTTCTATTTCAAATTCATTTTCAAATAATTAACCGATTTTCCTTCTAAATTATGTTACATAAATAGAATCTTTTGAACTCACCACAGACCACTTCCTATTGATTTGAAAAGCTGTGACTGTTTTTTTTTTCTCTATCCATATATCAATATACCTTCATAAAGCATCTGCCTTCCTTTCTTTAACTAGTTTCACAGATGGAATCTTCTGCTGTCTCTGGTGGTGAGCCTGAGGGTGGAAGGGCATTTAAATAAACAGGAAGGTGGGGTAACTAAGCCCTACTGCCGTCAAAATTAAGTTCTGGGTGGGAAGGCCCATAGTGAACCTTCCTGCCCTGTGTACCAACAGAGACCCTTGATTGACCAACCACTAACCATCGAAGGACCTCATCATGCTGCCACTGGGATTAGCCCAGCTGCAGAGGATGCTCTTATCCCGTGGGATGCACAGCACAAAAACCTCACACCTACTTGTCATTTCCAGGAGGACAGAGCTTCCTTTACCAAACGCCTAACCAAGGGATTGCACGTTGGGAACATGGGGTGCAAGTGAAAGGCACCACCACCTTGCCCTTGTTGCTGATCCCCCTGTAGCCCTCTCCCCACAAGCTGCGAGCACCTGAAATCCCCTCTCCCCTCCAAACCTCACTCGACTGTGACCTGGGACCCTGGTGCCTGCTGTTAAGCTGTGGTCACACCGTGTCTAGCGGTGCTGCGGAGCAAAATTGGACTGCAACTCTCGATGGGTGAGACTGCCACCTGTAAGGTCCAGATTCCAAATGCAGCTCACCAGCGGCTTCAACACAGCCTGATTGGCACACAGTTTGGCCAACCTTCCCAGAAAGAGGCAACGTTAGACTCTTGCTGGCTCTCTAGCCGCGCATGTGTCCTCTTGTCAAATTCCCTTTGAATTATTTTCAACGTAACATCTCATGCATCCCTTTATCTTGTAATTCTTTGTTTTTTTTTCTAAAGCTCTACTAAGGTAATTTAGCACAGCTTGCCCTTTGCAAGTCCTCTGAGACTGCCCCCAATTTGCCCACACTTGCATAAATATTCATTAATTTTATTCTTCATGATGAACTCTATATATCACTCCATTATATCACTTGAAACTGAGTGCCATGGAAGCAATAGAAAATGGGGCATGCAGTCTTCTAATTGGGTCCCAGCACCTAAGATTCTTTGAAATGTTCTCCTTCCCTCCTGCTTCCCAAACACCACACCTCTACAGAGAGTTTTGGCTACATGCCCCTGGGCTGCCCACTGTGTTTAAGAGAGATGTAGACGCAGGGCTATGGGAACAGATCCATATTCTAGCTTTCCCAAAATGTACTGCTGATATCAAGTGAGAACAGAAGTGGACAGTGCAATAATTGGTCAAGAGCAGAAGCAGCCCTGAAAGCAATTAATTTACCTGCTGTCTCCCCAAGCCTGTCCACCAACTTCAAATCACAGTAGGTCATGTGATAGAATACTCCCCACTTGCCTGGATTGGTGCGGTTCCAACAACACTCAAGAACCTCAACATCATCCAGGACAAAGTAGCTTTTTTGATTGGAACCCCATCCATCACCTTCAATATTAACTCCCTTCACCACGGCCACACAGAGGCAGCAGTGTATACCATCTACACATTGCACTGCAGGAACTCACCAAGATTTCTTCAATAGAAGCTTCCAAACACAAGACCCCTACCTTCTAGAAGCCCGAGGGCAGCTGACACATAGGAACACCACAACCTGCAAGGTTCCCTCTAAGACACATACCCATCCTGACTTGGAAATATATCACCATTCCTCCACTGTTGCCAGGTTAAACTCTGAAAGTCCCTCCCTAACAACACTGTGGGTTTACCAATACCACATGGAGTACAGTGATTCAAGAAGGCAGCTCACCACTACCTGTTCAGGTGCACTTAGGGATGGGTAATGAAATACTGATCTGGCCAGCGACACCCAGATCCTGTGAAGGTTTTTTTTTAAAATACCAGCTCCCTGATTATAATAGCTTCCAGTAACCTAATGCCTCAATTTAAAGCTCTCATCCTCACGCCTTAAATTTCTGTGATTTTCCATCTCCCTAATTTTGTGACCTACTACTGCCTTACATCATGTCCTTCTTTGGACAAACTGTCAATTCCTCTAACTCCACCTCCACTTGTTGTTGAACTTATCTCCCATATCCCTTTTATCCACCACGGGCAGCCTTCTCTTCAATCATTCAGATACCATGATCTTAAATGGCCATCTGTGTTTCCATCCATCTCATATTTAACTTTCTCCAATGCTTGGACTACCACGTTTTTCTAACCAATTAATCCAAACTTTGACCTCTTTTAGCCTACTGAATTTATGTAATTGCTAGAACAACACTTTTAGGTTCGACTGTCATTTGTCTATTTTCATTTCCATTATGAACAAAATTCACAAACTGGCCATAAACTAAGAGTTCTCATAAATTCAAGTCCCCTACTTGTCCCCCATTATTAACTAGAACCAGACACTGCAGCCCTTTTTTTTGCTCAACCTGCAACATATCACTTAAGGAAACAGATTTAGATGCAATTCTAAGAAGACCTCCTCATTTTGTCACAAAAGTTTGTCCATTCTCAGCTCCTGCTGCAAATAGCTTTAAATTGGTCACAAACCACATCCTAGATTTATTTCCTAATTTTCAGTGGTCTATAATGTATTCTGCATATGGCAACACATTCCTTTATTAAATCTTAACCTGAGCCAGACAGAGCCTATCTCAGGACAGCGATTCTTTCAAACCTTTTCTTTCAATGCAATTGCATGAAACAGGTCAGTCATTAACAAGGCCCAATCCTTTTCTTCCTTTGGTATCTCTCCTAAAAACTTTAATAGCCATGTATATTTCATTAAGAGACCCACCCTAGATGGAACAAGGTTTCAATAAAGACTATAATATCAAATCCCCCTACTCTAATTAGTGTCTCTACACACTGTAATCCTGATCCATTCCTATTGGACCATATTACTCTTCTCTTCCTTATTAATCTTTCCTTCAACAGCCTTTCAATTCTCTCAATAGACTACCTGGAACATAATTATTCAGGATTCTTTGTACTCAGCCCCACTTCTATTCTTACAGTAAATATTTTCATTCCACCCCTCCTAGAACTTATACAGTTAAACTCATACCTAGGTTCAATTCAATTCATCTAAATTGCTTGGAGTTCATCCATGGTCATGAAAATTAGAATTTGCATATCACCGTCATGGGGGTGGGAGATAGTTTAGTAACGTATGAGTGGACTGGAAGCTCCTTTCAGAGACGTTACTCGCATTGGGAATAGTTATGCAAAATGGTTAAATTCTGAGTTCATTTTCATAAATGACTGCTCAAATATAATTTTATTAATAAGGAATTTGAGGAAATCATTGAAATAAGATTTCCTGTCTCCCTTAGCAAGTACTTGCGTTTGGAATTTCCTGTCCTTTGCTGCATCACAATCAAGATGGTTCAGTCGAAATGTTGCACTTTTCAAAATCCTGAGCCAGTGCAGTTTGAAATGCCAGCAAGATTACTCAGTTGGACAGAACTAAAAAATGATTATAATGCAAAAAGGCTGTGCGGCCCACATAGGTTCAAACTTAAGCTTTGCTTTTTCAAAAGTCCAGCAGAAATGCTGTTTATGATCGCTTATTAAGATGTCCAATCATGGTCACTCTATTTTGTTAGCCATTCACCTCACTCAGGCTCTTGTTAATTTGTATGACCACCTTATGCAGGGTTTCATTTTCATCTGGATTGATTCCAAATTTACAATAATCAGCCTTGTTCTCACAGTTGTTCTATGTTTTACTCCCCAAGATAAGGACTTATTTTTAACAAATTCAACAGTAAGAGCATATAAACTAACAGACAGAAAGCTAACAGCAGAGATGAGGAAATTTTTTTTAAACTCAGAGAATGGTGGGAGTCTAGAACTTACTGCACGAAAGGGTGGTTGAGTCAGAAACTCTCGTAACATTTAAGCAGCGTTCAGAAATTCACTTGTATTGCCATAGCCTCCAGGGCTATGCGTCAAGAGCTGGAAAATAGGATTAGTGTAGTCAGATCCTTGATGACTGGTGCAGACATGATGGGCCAAATGGCTTCCTTCTGTGCTGTAAACATCTATGAGTATCTTACTAATTTTATTATTAATTTGGACAATTGAAACATATAAAGTTCTAACAGGGCTGGAGAGATTACGTGCAGGGAGGATGTTTTCCCTGGCTGGAGAGTCTAGAACCAATGGACACAATCTCAAGATACTGGGTAGACCATGTAGGATGGAGATGAGGAAATATTTCTTCACGCAAAGGGTAGTGAACCCGTGGAATTCTCTACCACAGAAGGCTGTGGAGACCAAGTCACTGAATATATTCAAGAGATTGATACTTTCTAGATTTTAAATGCTTCAAGTGGTATGGGGAA